AAAGTCCTGAAGCAGATGCACGAACAGCCGAAATAATTGTGCTGTATTTGTATCTCTAAACTCTGAGGCGTGTGCCGAGTTGGATCTCGGAACTCCAGATGCCTCACCTGCATAGACAGTTGCCCTTCAAGAAACAGCTGCACCAAAGCCCTCGCGCTTTAAGATTCGCAGTGCGTGTGCTTGGCAGCCTCCGGCCCATGGCCTGACCTCGCGGCCGACCTGAGAGGAGGTCCCTCTTTGCGCAAGGCCAGGATATGCCAGGCACGACAAGACAACGGCCGAGCGTGCTTCAGATGTTACGTTGGTAGGATCTATGTAGGTCAGTACACATGGATCTTAAGCACAAGCAGAAGCCAGGATGCTGCAGCCCGACTCTTGTCCACGGTAAGCAGAACGTTTTTTCGAGCCTCCACATCTCAGCCAACACTGCACAATGCATCGCAGCTCAGTTGCAGATACCCTCTCAGATGCCAATTCCCCAACCCCGACGTGTCCTGTGACTGTCGAAGCACATAGACACCAACGTACCCGAGAGCCACCTTCGCATCAAAGGTAGCAAACTACAAGCTGCGCAGCTCACAACTGGAACGGCACCTGCGATTGCATGGTTGTCACCAACAGCTCGGCAGAAGCCTTTCCTCAGGCGCAGCATGACACCAAGCAAACCGCCCGCAGCCTCATCAATCGCTCAAGGCAGGAAGCGCTCGCAATGTAAGGACACGGCGCAGTACTCCGGGTGGCAAGAACGGTTCTGCCGCCTTTCATGCGGGCATTTCTGAACCACGTGCAAGATTCTGTGGCCCATCCAAGGCATGTACAATGAATGCTTCGTAGAGTTCCCGGACTGGGAACAGGATTAGAGCAACCGCTGGAGCCTGCGGCCAGCAAACAGTGAAAACTTTTCAAGACATCATTGCGCTGAGGCCGGAACACAGATGAAACCCACCAGGAACCCTGCTGCCCTTGCACCTGCCCAACTAAAGTCATATGGTGATCATGACAGTAAGCACCGCGACGTTTTTCCCCCCCGGCTCAACTGTTCGTCTCCTGCGCCTCCCCCCTGTAATGACACACCCGACCGCAAAGAATTGACCGACGAGTTTCTGCCCGCCTGCCATTAACCATGTCTGGGATCCCAAGTGCAGAGACAGCCTGATGGCGTGCAATTGGTTGCAACATTCTCATCCATTGACGATGGAAGTGCGCCTTGCAAAGACCCATGAGACGGCGACACCGGCCACCTCTGCGGGGATCGAGATCGCACCGGCAAGGCATCCTCACAAGCCTGCTAAGGCCTTGGCCGCTTGCAGCAACTCGACGTGAAAGCCGGAGCCGAAGGCCTCAGAGTCTTAGACCCGACCACGAGTCGGAGCAGACCGCACACACACTACCCAGGTTCTGTGGATTGGGATCAGGCAAGTGAGAAGGTTCCTGCAGCCGCCGACGCCGCTGCTACAGCTGCCATCAGAGAGACGACGGCATTCCTGTGGCAGCTCTTCAATTCTGCAGTTCGGCCATGTTTGCCAGCATTGCGATGTTGCCAGCATTGCGATGTTCAAACGACAGATACTTCCGATTGCTCTTGCCTTCCCATCCTATAATGATGAGGATGAGGATGATGATGATGATGGTGATGATGATGATGATGACGACCATGATGATCTTCCACAATTTCACCTGCGCATAAGCTACAGTCCAAGCTCCGGCTGGTTTCAGCCTATGCTGCCGGTTCTTCCTAACGCTACACTAGGCAGCAGGCCGCTCTGAACGCGCAGCATTTGGCCGCAGCTCGAAAGAAGGGCAAGGGCGATGCACCAAATTCTCGTGAGGTATAGCCACAGAAGCCACGGACCCACTGTCCATCGACGGACACAGGCGTTGCATTCAAGCATGTGCAACGATTGAATTTCAATTCGCAGCGGATTCACTGCGTTTTCATAGCAACGGTGGCGCAGGAGTTTAGCAAGCAACACAAACAGCACCGAGCTGAGCCGAGCCACGGGCCGTGAGTCACGCGAGAAACCCTGCCTTCCGTCACGTGGCCTTAACTACACAAGCTGCCAGGTCTGTACATTGGCGTGGCCAGATGGAGTGCACGTGGATGAGGTGTAGCATCGGTAGCCCGCATCCTTCCAAACGCTGATGAACTTGGTCGCCGAATTTTTCTTTCGGCACAGCGTCCAGGCTCTCTCCTTCCACGAGGCAAACTCGTCGGTGTCGAAGCCTTTCTCGCCGACAGAGCTGCTGGCAAGCTCCCAAGCCTTCGACTTATAAACCTCCCCCTCATTGCAAAACCCTTGGCCATGGAATCCCATGGGTTTGAGCAACCTGTACACACCGTCAGTGGGGGAAGGAGACGAAAAGGCCGACCCTGCCTCCGGACAGAGATCGAGCGCGCATTGGCAATTGCCGCCGCCCAACTTAGTCCCACCATAGTCAAAGTACTTCCCATGGCACTCTTGATTCTTAGCCACCGCCACTGCGCAGGCATCCAGATTGGGGATTCCACGATCTGGATTCCCCAATCTGCGAGTTCGACTGCCCAGCCACCACCGCTGTTGGCAGTATGCGCCGCTTTTCGCGAGTTCATAGCGCTTCTTCCTGGCGCAGAAGACCTGTTCATCCTTCCAGATGTCAGTCGGTTGGTCTTTATCGTAGAGCGTGCACACCTTGGCGTCATCCTTCGCATTGGGCGGGGCGTAGTTGAAGCTGACGCAGTCATTGTGGGTGTCGCAGCGATCTTTGCACTCTTTGATCGTGTCCACTTTCGCCCTCCCATCACAACTTTCGAGCCCGCACCCGCTAATGTCTGCGCCAAGGTAGCCCTGCATTACGTAGCCAGCTGGGCATGCAACCGACTCACCCAGTAGCACCAAGGCCTTGTGCCGGGCCGCTTGAAACTGGTTCCTCAGCGGCTGTTTGACGTTATCAATGGCGACATTGAAGAAGCTTCTCACTGCGTAGTTGTTGCAGCACAAATTCCTTGCGTCACAGCCATCGTAGTTGCCATCAATTGTGCAGACGCCCCAGACGGTCTTCTCGTCAAGATTTGTGACCTTGTTGCGGTCTTTGACCTGGAACTTGCAGGCGTAGCAGCGCCACGGCCCCCACTCGTGCATGTTGTGGCGACGCCTGCCGTGAGGAGCATTGAAGCGCTTGATGACGACTTTGTCAGCTTTCGACTTGTGCTGCCCCCAATCTTGGTAGGCACCTTCTTGCCACGCGGCCTTAAGCCTCCTGAAACTGTCCACCGTCTCTCTCAGGTTTTGCTGCCTGCGGCGCGAGTACTGCATATGGCTGTCCACACAAACCATGTCCTTGTCGTCGCATTGGGTCTCGACAGAGTGGATTTGACCCAAGCGATGCCCCAGGGCGTTGTCCACCATCCAGCGGGTCGTCTCCTTCGCGCGCTTCAGGGTGGTCCCACGGATCAGCGACTGCACTGATTTGCAATCATTTTGATCGTGTGTCGGGAGTGCATCGCATTCCAGAAGCTGGACTTGCACCATAGCGGGGACAAAGAAGTAGATGAAGGCCACGGTCACCTCAAAGCCACCTCTGGATGGGCAGAGAGGGGTCGGGAAGGCACCAACCAAGCACCCATCACGGGAAACGCCGCTCTGAAGCAACAAAGACTTGTGGGCCATCGGCTACAGGCTAGAGGGCTGCCTTCCGCCCAAGCAGGGGATATCGGCGTACTGCTCAAACCCCCGAAGTCCCCACTTAGTTCTCCCTCTCACTCCGACCTTGCTGCAACCACTCCTCGCAATCACTTTTGTAATCGTCGTCCTGCTTGGAGGTTGTGTCCCACAGCTGCCTCTGATAGCGATCGCAATGCCCGAAGGCGTCCGAGTACTCTGACTCCAGCAGAAAATTCATCTTGCCAATGATCCAACCCGGATCCTGAGTAAGAGTGTCTTGGGAACCCAAGGCAACCCTGAAGCGGATAATGAATGCTGCGCAGAGTTTGAACACTATTTGCAATTTGCCGGCTGCATCCATGGATCTTTGCTGCTGCGGAGGTGGGTGTCGTACTTGTACATCAGGTTCTTCATCGTTTTAACTTGCTCTTTGAAGGCGTTGTTAGCAATTAGCCTTTTCGTGTCCTCCTGCACCGTAACCTGGAACTCCTCCAGCATCGCTTTGACGTCGTTCTCAGTCATGAAAGGGGGCGGTGGCTGCGAGCCCAGTACGAGATCCTTGAAAATGGTGATGCCGATGTCGACGAACGGCCCCACAAAAGGAGCTTTGGCCGCTATCGCGGCAACCCCCAGATCCAAAACCGTGGACAAAGCCGACTTGGCAAGCTCCTCACCAGAGTCTCCTTTGATGGCACCCACGACCAGGCTGCCAATCCCACCTGCAGCGATGTCCATCGCATCACCTGCCTTGATCTCCTGCCAAACCCTCGTGTCCCTCGATTTCTGCTCGTCGTCGGGTGAGTCCGCTGGGTCCGCTGGCCCGGATCGGTTATGGATCGCTTGGAGCAGGTTGCTGGGATCGCTGTCGAGGTTGCAGCTGGGGTCGGCTGCATCGTCCGGCGCTTTTGCACCCAGACATGCAACTGATGCAAGAAGCCCACAGAAGGCGAGGTGCATCGGGCGCATCGCGCAGCGGCGCATGGCGTGCTTCAACTGAAGCTGTGAGCGTCTCAGTCTGGACTTTCTGCGGCTTGGGCCCGAGCTGAAGACGAGGTACGACAAAGAGATAGGAGCAGCAGCGTTGAGCAGCCAGAGAAAGAGGCAGGACTGCTGGACTGCGACTGTTGCGCTGCTGTTTGTTGCAGATGTGTTGCGATATGCTTGCGACAAAGTACCAAGCCCAAAGGTAGCTAATCTGGCTCAAGCCCCCCCCCCCCATCCCACCTCAGAGGCTGCACGACCACATACAGTAGGAGAATACCTGCGCTCGTGACCCGGGCGCATAGGAACTGAGCACACAGTAGTCGGCCAACAGATGAACAAACAGCAGATTTTGGCTTGCAGACTCTCTGGACAGTGCCGGGGTCCCAAATGCAACTTCCTAATGCCTTCACACGGCTATACACGGCTTTGGGATCACCGCGCCGGACTGCTTGCAGCTGCTTCGAAAGTCGGATCCTTCAAGTTGTATCCAGTCTCATCATATCTCCGGGCCCTTTCCGGAGTCCGGAGTCTTGCAGTCTTGCATCTGAGTCTGATTGCACCCTGAGTTCAAGCTGCGCCTGGACCTCTGCCACCGGCCAATCGCTTTCGGCCAGGCCGCACCGCACAGGGCGGAAGAACAAAGAGGTCTTTCAGGTGCCTATTTGCAGGAAGCTGCAGGCCGAGAGCTTGGTGGTGGCTTGTCGATCTGCAACAGGAACTGGTTAGAGTCGCAAAGACGGCAGAGACCACCACCAGCCGCGAAGCATCATCCTTTGACTCGCGTCAGTCTACCGCGTAGCAGCTGTTAGTCACATCGATTTCACATGAGCAACAGAATCCTGACCCAGCTGTCCTTGCGACAGATACCGTCACCCAAAGCGAAATACCAGACATCGCTGCCAAGCTCAGCGTCAGTCGCGGAGAGCCTCGACTTCAGCAAAGCACCCCATTCCACGTGTCTATGGGAGCCCAGCTGGTCGCGAAGCTAAAGCCCCACCGGCAGGACGTCCGAACCTGATGCAAATTCGCACGGGCTTCACAAGACTGGAAACCTTGCTGAGGATCAAACCAAGAACCATGTCCAGGTGTCCAAGAATCCTTCCGAATTTGGCCCTTCGCTCACATCCCCCCATGCCCCACGCACGTGTGGCTCGGCTTCCTCCTAACCAGGGCGGCGGAGAGCCTTCGGAATCCGAGGCCTCGCACGAAACGTCGCCACACAGGGGTCCGCTTTGCTCCCATCCCTGACTTTTCCTGGCCTGGACCTGGACAGTTTGCCTCCTCTCCTTTTCGGTGAAGTCCGCGAAAAGCTCGAAGACTGGCTGCCCGCCTCAGCAGGGTCACAGGATGTGCTTTGAAAGCTTTCATTTACCGGCACGAACATGTACACATCACGCCACGCCTATCGCCAGCGGAAGCCAGCCATTCTGGCAACGTATCCAAGTGCCCACTCGTTCCTGCAAGCTCCATGCTGAAAACTGAAAACAGCGAAACATGTTGCTCTCTTCAGCGCGGTCCACGGCGTCCACGACTTCTTGGAAGACGGGCCCCATAACCATCTGCTCACGATCCTGCAGGACCCTTCGGAGCCGCCGAAGCCATCCACTGCTGTGCATCCGGAAATCCTCCAAAGTCGGGCTTTTCCTGAAAGCCACGCCCTGGCATCACGAAGGCATGGAAAAAAGGAAGACGGTGCATGTTCTGAGCCTGGGAGGAGATGCAGCGTGCCCGTAGGATGCCATCCAGCAGCTGACAGTAATGACAGCAAAAACTCTTTCAGTGTCAAACTCACCTCGAGTTTCTTGCCTCGAAGACATTGCAGCCATCCAGACGCATAGGAAGCCATCCTTTCGCGCATCGAGCCCACTGACCTGCAAAGCCTAGTCCGTGTAAGCACAGCTGCGCGGATCCGAGATGGTGCATCGGCGCGCCTTGTATCATCTCGACAGGCACAATGTCGTCGTATGAAGGGCCTGCGTACCCACCTGGGAAGCAAGCCAAGCTGAGACTGTATTGTTGGGAGGCTGCGGATTTGGGCATGAGCCTTCACGATCTGTCAAGTTTGGTGACCTGTCTGCTCCAGTGGGTCCAACAGCAAACAACTGCATCGCAGCTTGCCCTCAAGCCCCTGGCCTTCGATATGCCACACCCTGCCCGGCTCAAGCTTCATGCTTCAGTTGGTATACGATGTATAATATGTTGGTACTCTGCAGGCTTGGCCGGCGAGTGGTTGAGCCTGGTGGCTCAGGCAGCGCAAGAGCTTCAATTCGTTCGATGCGAGGCTTCGTCCTC